CTTTCTATGTCAGTAAAAAGGTTGCTTATTGTTATTTTGTAATGACTAGGTGGCATATCTGAGAAAATAGGCCAAGAAAAAAGGTGTTATAGGTGAGATTCATTCAGTATCAAACTTCCCAATTTAAGAGTTTCACTCCAATTTTCAGACCCTTTTATTGAAGCAAATAATGCTGATTCATGAGGACTAAGATTAAGCAACCATACCATCGCATAGTCATTAGAATGGGTAGAACATTAAAGACTACCAAGAATAAGGATGGATGTTGGAGTTGGTGAAAATATGAAGGGACTGAAGCTTTCATACACTCCTGGTGAGAATACAAAATGATACAGGTACTTTGAAAGATAGTTTTCTGGTCTCCTATAAACTTAAACACATATCATAAACCAAACCCAAACCAACACACTGCCATTGAGGAGATGCTGACATAGCTACGCTGTAGGACAAAGTGAACTTGAGGCATGAATCTTTTGGAAGCAGAAGGATGCATATTTCTCCTGCAGGAAATCTCCCAGGTTCACACTGCTGACTGCATTTAGCAGCTGAGCACTGGGATCACTCTCCACCAGGGCTCCTCAGGTTTATCATGCACCTGAGAACCCCCACGTCTAAGTATTTACAAAAAATAAAGTTACATAAATCTACAAACAACAGATTGTGCTCAAATGTGCAAGCAGCCTTATAGCAAAATAAAACCACAAAGACAAACAGCCATGGATTAATGAATAAGTCAACTTTTGTGATTACTCATTCAATGGAATACTATTTTATGATCAAAAGAGAGAATGACACGCAGTCCCCAAATTACTGATAAGATTCCTATGTTTGTTCTTAAGTCCAATTTGTAGGGAAATCAGAACAGATGCACACAATTCCAATGTGATCTTACTGTAGTGCCAGGCAAGACTGGATGTCTTTTCAGAGCTTTGAAATCGGAACATGCCGCAAGTGAAGGTGCCTGTGATGAGTCAGACGTGGCTCCGTGGCCATGGGCCGAAGAAAAGAGGTTGTGTCAAGGAGCCCGGTGGCTCACTGTGGCCCACAGAGGACTGCTGACCACAGATCTGCAGTTCTGCTCTGCAGGCTCTGGTAAAGCTTTACAAAGCAGACTTGGTGGCAGTGGGTTTGGTTTGGGTTTTGCGTGTGTAAGTCACCTGCATCAAATTGAGGGCTAATTTACATAACATTAAAGGGCAAGTGTGGATTACTTGGTAGTCAGACATTCATAACCCAAGGAATGCTGATCCTCACACCAGAAAAAATGACCAAATTTCCAAAATGTCATTTTAAGTGAAAGTCAAACTCAAAAAGAGTACTGTTCATGAAATACATTGCAAAGTTTGGAGAATTCAAGAGTATGGTAGCAGAAATAGAGCAATGGATTTTAGAAGTGAAAGTATGGATTCACTGTCATCAGTTGCTTGTGACTCAGGCCTCCGAGGCTGAAGCTCCTCAGAAAAGTCCAAAACCTCTGAGGATGCGTCAATGCAAATGGCACTAAGGTGCCTTTGGAGGTGATGGAAACCATCTGTGTCATGATGGTGCAGGTGGTCATAGTATGCCTTTATCAAAATCCACTGAATTACATATGCCCAAGGAATTTTATTATTTGTAAATAAAACTTTAAAAGCACAGGTAGAAAATCAACAAATAAAAGCACTGGTACTACAATTTTAAAGCCATTCATCAAATTGCAATATTGAGGAGAAGAAAAACAAACTTTCAGCAGAAAAACATTGTGATTAATCTCTCCAAAAGTATGCAAGATTTAATTTTGAAATTCTGTAGTTGTCTTCTTTAATACGGAATATATTCACTTTTATTTGACCTGATTTATGTTCAGTTTACATTTAAATTTAGCAAAATGGTCATATAGTGAAAAATGAAAATAATTTATTTTTCAAGTTTTATAAAATCATCTGCCAAATGAAGTCTCACTGAATAGAAGCAAAAATCATACTTGTAATGGTACATTTTGTTTTTTAATAAAAAAACTCCGTAATGGCAATATCTTACACTCATAAAGTTTTCTATAGGCCAAAGTATCTCAGCACATGTAGATATATTTTTTTCAATCTAAAATAATCAAGTTATTCAGAGTAATAACCCAAAACATAACTTTGAAGATTTAGAGGTGATAAAGTCCCACCACCACTCCTAAGACTAACACCAATGACATAAATGCTTATGAAGAAAAGTTACTCAGCTTACTTACAAAAACACTATTAAGCTATGCAAATAATAAAGTTTATATATATTAGTTAAGATCAATCTATCTTATTTTTACTTCTTAGGGATTGTCTCATTTTAAAATTGGTTTTTAAAAATATATTTTATATTTCAAGAAATAAAACCAAATGGATGTAATTTAGCCACTGTTGTGTATGAATGTGAAATGCACATTTACCCGGCTCCTTAGAATTGTGAAGAAAAAAAGTGATTTTAGCTTTTTCTTATTTGTTCTCTTCCTACACAATCCAAAGTATCTTTAAAATTTGACTGCTGCATAAATTCTCTGTTCTTCACAGCTCTCTTTTAAGCTCCTTGGGTGTATGCCAAAGAGGGTTTCCTGGGAATTTGGTCTATATTCTCATCCAAATGAACACCTGCTGTCCTTGTTCCTCATCAATCCTGTAGTCAGCATCACCAGCTCTCTCTTGATGGTGTGGCCCATTCTACCCATGGAAAATTCTTCCCAGTGCTTCTCACTATTTTATTCCATGACCTACTACACAAACATGGAGCTAATATTCAGTTCATCTCTAGCTAATTAGTATTTTTATTTCTGCAAGATTCAGCACAGTCCACTCTGCTTCAGTCATATGTTTTTGTGTTTTTCTTTTTTAATCTCACTCTCTTCTCCCCTCTCTTTCTTCCTGTGTCCTCGCTCTCTGTCCTGTTTGTGCTAGTTTGGGGGGGAAAAAAGAAAATGTTTATTACAATAATACACACTTTCCAAACTAATTATCTAATCTATTTTTAGTTCTCAAAATTAGCAGAAAAAAATAATTAAAGTTAGCATAGATGCAATGGTTTCCCCCCTGTGGATGACCAGTATTAATCATTCATGTCTAGCACTGTTTGGTATGACTATACTTTTGTTAAACTGGTCTTCTTGATGTATTTATTATTGTTATTTCAATTGGATTTTAAGTTATTGCAGCTTGATTTTGAATCAGATTGTGGATAAAGCCAAAATACCTGATTAAAAATGAATGAGTTATTATGTCACACAACAGAAATAAGAGCATTCCAACTATTTTCTACAACCTCCTCTCACATGCAGTACACGATCATACCCTAAGAATTTAATATATTTACAATTTATTAGTAAAAATAACAAAAATATTAATTGCATTGGAGAACTACTGGGCCAATAAAAGCGATCCATTTTGTTTTCTTACTTTCTTGTGTTAGGAAAGAGTACTGGTGGTGGGACAGTTAAGCATTCAGTGCCTACCCAAAAGGGTGGCAGTTGGACTCCATCCAATGATTCAGCGGGAGAAATACCTCGTGATTTGCCCTCAAAGTGTTATAGCCTTGAAAACACTATTGGACAGCTCTACTCTGTCACATCGAATCACTTAGTTAGAAATCCACTTAGGGTATCTAACCCTAACAATAACAGAAAACCAGGAAGGTGACCATGTAAACAATTGTATAGCAACAAGAAATCTTAGAATATCAGACTAGAGAGTAATTTGTTGCGATCTTTGTGTGTTATTTTTGTGTACATCTCTCTATACCTCCGTGCTCTCCTTTGTAATCATGGGCCTATTCAGTTACTCGACAGCTTGTAGTGTATAAAATATTAGCTAAATCTTGCAGGGAAAAACAACTCTGGCTGCCATCTGCAGCAGCGGGCATCGGTCCTTCACTGGTAGTTCCATGCTTTGTTATGCATGAGTAAGCACATTAGTCCTTTCATTTCATTCATTAGACTTTCAGTCCTTGATTAGTGTTTTGTGGCTTCTCTCAGAAACACAACTTCTTTATTTCCTTTGTGTTTGGCTTTTTCTAAATCTCCACCATGAAACAGAATTAACAGTTAATTGCAACAATAGCCCCTTTCCTATTGAAATGACTGGTAAATATATTAGTTTTCCATTTGAGTAATTAATCATCTCTGGATGAAGAATTGGAAAATAGATCCTCTGTGTGAATAATGGGGGAACTGTTTAAAGTCAGCTAGAAGAGACAGTGCTTGAAAAGCGCAGATCACAAAATCCCCCCAGTTTCCCACGTTCGCTGAGAATTCAGAGTTCCCGGGAAACCCTAACGAGAGTTCTTGAAAGCGGCACCCTTACATTTGTGTATAGACTTTAAGGTTAGTGTCTACTTAAACATATGATACATGATTCTATTAAATGAGAAATATATTGAAGGAACTTGCTTTAGAGATAAGCAGTAATACACCCAAGGCATATTTGACAAGTAGAAGTTATGTATTATACTTGACCTTTATAAGATATATAATCCCACGCTATCTTTTTACCTATAATTAATCTCAAAGGACCATGAGTTTCTTATTTCATGATTTCTTAACTTAAGCCATTCATCAACTCTTGTTCAACACTATTTTCAAATTTTAAAAATATATATTTGTGTTCAAATGTGATATCTTAATTATAGGAGGAGGCTTTAAAAAGTTCATGGTAAGTGGAATTAAAAGATAATAGAATGTTCCCCCAAACTTTTTGGAGCTCCTTCCTATTCTGAGCCTAATGTAAGCCCAGCTGTTAAATAGACTTCACTTCCTAGGTAGAAAAAGTGCTGAAATGATTGAATTCAACATTTAATGTTTCTGTAGGATTTACTTGGTTAACATTTTTTTATCTAACTTCAGAACATCTCAGCAAAGCACTGCTAAGAAAAAGTTAATATAAAAATATTTTTCATTTACTTTTTTATTTTTAACTATAATTTCTATAAGATAAAATAATCATAAATGTCTTTCTCTCTCTTTTTTCTTTTCTTCTCTCTGTTTCTTTCTGTAGGATGCCTCCATTGCCCACAGATTCCATATCATGAGAGAAAAACACCCAGAGAAGTTCAACAGTAGGTAAGGTCCCAAATGATGACATTATAATGATGCCTGTTATTGTCAATTATGTCATGAAAATTATCACTGTATGGCACAAAACATTTCACCAATAAATAAATAGATGGGACTCGGTGTGTGAACAGAAATTAAGAAGATGTGAAGGTCTGACTGGACATAATTTTTCCTTTCAGGTTTAAGTGGGACAGTAATAAGAAATGAATGTGATGGGCTCTGTTCTAGCTTCATGTTGCTCAATATATAGATAATCAAATTTAAGGGCAAAATAATAACTTACCTAGACTTAACAAAAATCTTACAGGATTTAGTATATGAAAGAGGATCATCCTCAATCTCTAGGGGAAATATGGACCTCTTACTTGGTAGTGTGAGGTACCTAAGTGTTACAATACAAGTGTTACATTGTATTGGGAAGGCTCCAGATTAGACTCCACAGGAGACTGGGTGGTAGTGAGTTACGCGATGGCCTGATAACTGCAAAGTCAGCAGTTCAAAAACCACCAGTCATACAAAAATGTGCAATGTCAAAAACCCACTGGGGCAACTCGACCCTGTCCTATAGGAGTGCCATGGTTCAGAATTGGCTATATGAGAGTTTTGAGTTGTTTGTTTGTTTGTTTAACAGGACTCTACAGAATGAAATACAAAAGCCGACACCACTATTTTTAAAAGACAGTCCCCTTAAGAGAAAAGGTTTTCAATAAAAACTAATATTTTCATTATAGCAGTAGGCATTTGTCGCTCCACATGTAAGCAAGCAAAAACCCTTTCAGTTATTCAAGCAAACAAGAAAAGAAGGGAACCCTGAAGAGCCTAACCTCCGAGTCTGTCCCATTTCTAGAAGAATATGTACTTATTGCCTCTCCCGACTCTCCAGAAAGGTGGGGCAGATCAGGGGAATCATCTCTTGCTGCAATTATATTAATTTCAAGTCTGTTAATTTTGTGAAGACCCAGAATCATATTTAGCATTCCTATGTTCACATTAAAATTAATATATGTGTTCATGTTCAAAGTCAAAGACTCTGTGGTCACTGTATTTGGCTAAGTTGACATATTGCCACGCATGCCTCATAATACTTACCAGATATCTGCTTCTAGAAAGTTTTGCAACTATCGGTTTTGTCACACATTAGAATATTGATATATTTTAGTAAAACAGTAAACATTTATTACATAAGAAATATATCCAGTTATGCCTTGAGTTCTTACCACCCTATAAATTATACACACTTTCCTTATGGTTAGTTGCTTCTCCCATAGTGCAGAGACCTAAATGGAAATTGAAAAAAAGTCATATATTAATATTTATATGAGTATAGATTATCTTTCGAAGGAGTCACAAAATAATCAGGTAGCTCTTGTCATGTCCAGAGAAGGAAACTGAGCTTATATTATGCACTTTTTTGTACTATTTATATTTTTGTCATGCTTTATTCAAAGGAAAATCAAAAGTAATATAACCTAAAATTTACACATATAAATTTTACTTTCAGGTAGTCTTGATTTACAGTGTATTCCAGTTACTACAAAACACACTCATTATTTTCTATTTGGGGGGGTGTAGGGTTGTATATTTCATTGTTAGTAATATATACTACTTGTAATATTGCCACACATAATTTACTGATGTTTTATTTTTTTTAATTATTTTAGAAGTTTTATAAGCACTTCTCAGTATTCACATTGGTGACTTGTGCTGGATACTTTCTTATATGTTACCTCTGTCCAAAACAAACAGATAAATAAAAATACTTTCATTGTGTCAGTTCTGACTCACAGTGATGCCATCGAGTAGTGTACAACTGCTCCTGTGGGTTTCTGAGACTAAATCTTGACATGAGTAGGCAGCCTGACCTTTCTCTTGTGAAGTGACGGGGGCTCTTGACCACTGACCTTGTTAGCAGCCCAATCAGAACCCACTTTACCACTAGAGCTCCTGACATACATTTGTAGATTTTTTTTTAATTAAAAGATAATTTCATTGGTCGTTCTTACAGCTCTGATGGCAATCCATACATCAATTCTATCAAGCATTTTTATACAAAAAGAGGACTTTTGTACATTTTTAAAACTCAAAGCATGTGTTGTAACATGTTTAACATGCTGAACCTCCTCTTTTTAAAGTCTCTGATTTATAAATCCAGCCCATTGCTATTGAGTTAATTTTGCCTCAAAGTGACCCTACACAGAGTTTCCAAGGCTGGAAATTTTTATAGGAGCAGATAGTCTCAGTTTTCTCCCATGGCACAGCTGATTTTTAACAATTAGTTTTATTAAGCTATAATTAATGCATCATACAATTCAGTAGGTGAGTAATATTAAGAAGAGTTTTACAATCATCATCCCAATCAACTTTTGAACATTTTCTTTCTTCTTGTACCCATTGGTGGTGTCTCACCATTTTCCCCCAACCTCCTCTTCTGTGCAAGATCTCAGGTAATTATTAATTCAGTATTGTTTTCATAAATTTGCCCATCCTGGCTTCCCTAGAGAGAAAAAATGAGGGGACACCAAACCAAAACAAAACAAGGACTCGGCAACAAAGATCAAACAATGACTCAATCTAAAATAGAGCAGATGATATTAAAAGTTTTGAATACATTGAAAGTGGGTCTAATTTTCAGACTGCTAAGAAGTGCTTTGCATTGTTCTCTGTATAATCTTAGGGCTGCTCAATTGGGACTCAGTCCATGTAAGGGACCTTTCAAATGGATTTTGGGCTTTTGCTATCACCCATAGCATTCTGTAAATTGGGCATTACAATTTAGGCATTGATGTCATTCCCTCCCCAGGATTTGGAGTTTATGATTTATAAGCATTAGGTCATATAGGCTGGTGTGCTTCTTCTGTGTAGACTTAGCTGACTCCAATTAGATGACTACTTATTTTGAGACAAACCTTTAAGAAACCAGGTGCTAAAATGTGGTGAAGAAATCACATGGTGCTGATATTTTCATGGTATCCTGGTCTCACTACTCTCATTATTAGTCCTGAGGGGTTTATCTGTCCTAGATTCCCTGTGTGGCAAGTGCTTATCTGTACCCATGTACATACTCTGGTCTAGCTGGATTTGTAAGGTAGATTGGGGTCATAATAGTCGGAGGGAGGAAGCATTAAAGAATTAGAGGAAAGTTGTGGGTTTCATCTGTGCTATACTACACCCTGACTGGCTGGTCTCTTCCTTGTGACCCTTCTGTGAGGGGATTTCTGATTGTCTACAGATGGGCTTTGGGTCTCCACTCTGCCCTCCCCCTCATTCACATTGATATGAGACTTTGTTCTGGGTCTTTGATGCCTAATGCCAGATCTTATTGACACCTCATGATAACACAGGCTGCTCTGCTTCTTCCATGTGGGCTTTGTTGCTTCTCATCTAGATGGCCACTTGTTTATCCTCAAGCCTTTAAGACCCCAGACTCTATATCTTTTGATAGCCAGACACCATCAGCTTTCTTCACTACATTTGCTTATGCACCCATTTTGTCTTTCAAAATCATGTCAGGAAGGTGAGCATCATGGAATGCCAGGCTAATAGAACAAAGTGTTCTTGTGTTGAGGGAGTACTTGGGTAGAGTGCCAATGTCCATCTGCTACCTTAATATTTAACATATAATTATATGTACATAAATCTATTTCCCTATCATTATATATAAATATATTTATATATGTACATGCCTGTATTTAGACCTCTATAAATGTCCTTTTCCTCCTAGTTCTTTCCACTATTTCCTTTTACTTTCCTCTTGTCCCACTGCCAGGTTTGACATTCATTCAGCTTTTATTAATCTGTCTCAGCTACATTGCCCTTGACCAAACCCCACCAAACTTCCTACACCCTCCTCGGCATCAATTTTAGATCACTTTTTGTTCCCTTGTCCCTTGGTTTGTTGACACCCCCTTTCTTTTCTCCTGCCTTCTCTTCTCCCGTGTATCCCTGGAACCTTCAGTCCCATTATTTTATCTTCCAGATTGTTTATCCTGCCTATCTTATCTAGATAGACTTGCAAAAGCAATAATAAGCACAAAAACCAAACAAAGCAAAACAAAACAGCAAAATTTATAAAACCAAAAAAACAAACAACAAAAAGAAAATCCTTTAAATAGTTCCAGGTCTGTTTGTTGACCTTCATGAGTGTTTTCTGGTTGGGTCTGATGGGGTGCCATGCCCTGTCCCCAAAGTCTCTTTTTAGTATTTCTTTGGGACTTCATTGCTTTGCTCCTCTTGCTGCTCTGTTGCACGCCTTTCTTGTTTTGCCCTGGTCTGTTGGAGTCAGATTGGGCACAATTCCTGCATTGTATCTCCTGTGTTGTCCCCTCTAGCACTATTTGTCAGTGAAGGACTTTATGTCTCGTGGTGGGGCCGGTCCTACGGTACTCTCTGTGCATTGGCTGCTCCAAGCAGGAATGTCGTCCTCGGAGCTTGTTGGGCCAGGATGTATGCCACCCTCTCTTTCTCTCTCCTTTCCTCTTAGTTTTCCACCATGTGCTCTGATTGGACGTGCCCCTTTCCTGAGCTCTAGCTTCAGTGCTATCCTCAGTAATGCCTGCTTTTGGAAGGGGGCAGAGGAGGTCTATGTAGCTGGACTCGAGGTGGCCCCGCAGACTTCTCTATTGATTCGCTTCATTGTGCTGGAATGTTGCATTCATATCTTGGCACACTGGGTTGAAAGCCGGCCCCTCTCTCCTTCTCCTGTGGAGATATAAACAATATTGTCCCCTTGGGTGGGTTAGTGCCCTGTTCCCCTGATACCATGTCTCTTCTTTCTTTTCCCCTCCTTTTTAGTTGTCAGCCATTTTTATACCTGGGTTGGGTCTGGCTGTCAGTCTTTCAAACAGATGAGTTTGAAAAATGTGCCCAAGCCTGGAATCGCAGATTTGACAAATGTATTCAGTGTAATGGAGAGTACTTTGAAGGTGATAAGGTTGTTTGGTAAAAATATTTAAATACAGAGTTTTACAAAAAATCTGTTTTCCTTTTGTTACCCCTTCATATAGAGA